GTCTGTTTTGTTTCCTGCACTGTACTTGGTACTATAGTTAAATGAGGTATGGGGTCTGCCTTCAAGGAGCCCAGTTAGAGTGGAAAGGAACAGAAAAATGAGCAAAATGTTCTATTAGAGATAGGAATAAAATGTCACGAGGAACACAGAGAAAAGATCCACCTGGAGGGAGTCTTGTGATACCCTAGGTACGTCCTCAATTACTGTTTTGTACATATGTGCACCTTCCCCCCACATCCCCACAATTCTTCTTCCAACCTCCTTCAGTCTACTTCCACTCAGCCCCACACTGCACGGAAACCTTCCATATGTCAGTAGCCAGCAACCAGGGTGGAAGTGTCTTTTTGTAAACCTCTTTACATTGTTTAACCATCTTTTTGAAATTTCTTCCCTTTATATATGTAACAGTGTCATGTCTTTCTGCTTCTCCACGTTTATTCTGTTAACTCTTATTTAGAACAAGGAGCTTCGTTCCAGGAACCCCCTTCATTACTCCTTTGTTTGATCAAACAGATGAATCCTGCTGGCTGCACAGATCCATTGGTCTGATGGAGCAGAACAGAGTCCAGAAATAGACCCACATATATATGGACAGCTGACTTTTGTCAAAGGTGAAAAAGTCAAACAAATGGTGCTGGAATAATTGGACATCCTGATGCAAAATTAAAAATTGATCCATGTCTCAACATAGGGAAAAATTAACTCAAAATGGATTATAGCTCTAAATGTAGAACTCCAAACTGTATAACATCTAGAAGAAAATAGGAAAATGTTCAGCCTTTGGTTAGGTACAGATTTAGATACAACCCCAAAAGTACTATCCTTTGAAGAAAAATTGGACGAATTGGACTTCATCAAAATTGAAAACACCTCTTTGAAATCAACTGTTTAGAGAACAAAAAGACAAGCCATGGAGTGTCAGAAAATATTTGCAAAACATTTCTGATAAAGGGCATGCATTCAGAATAAAGAAGTCTCAAAATGGAATCGTAAGAAAACCTATTTGGTGATTTAAAAAATGGGCAAAGAATGTAAACACACTTCACTGAAGATGGTATTACAGATGGCAGATAAGCATGTGAGAAGCTGTTCATCATTAGTCATCAGGAAAATGCACGTTAAAACCATGATGCAGTACCACCACCTATTGGTTAGAAAGGCTAAAATTAAAAAGACCATGTTGGGTGAAGGTGGCAGAGCGGGAACTCGCACTGCTGGAGAGAATATAAACTCGTACAACTATTCTGGAAAATAGTTGAGCATTTCTTAAAAGGTACTTACCACTCGTAGTTGTTTATCAAGAGAAAAGAAGGTGTAAGTCCATGTGAAGACTTGTACATGGGTGTTCATAGTAGCTTTATTTGTACTAGTCCAAAGCCCATATGCCCATCAACAGGTGAATGGACAAATGATTATGCATACAAAATGAAACAGTGCTTAGCAATAAAAAGCAATTATTGATACATGCAACATGGACAAATCTCAAAATAATTATGCTGAGTGAAAGTAGACCAAAAATGTACTGTATGCTTTCATATATGTAAAATTATGGAAAATGCAAAGTAACCCACAGAAATCTAGAGAAAGCTCAGTGGGGGTAGGGGTTGGCTTGGAGGGATTTCAAAGGGGTATGAAGATATAGGGGTGTTGGATGTGTTCATTATCGTGATGGGTTTCTGGTTTGACGTGTGCATTTGTCAACACCAAATTGTACACTTTAAATTTGTGCAATTTATTGCATGTTAATTATACCTCAATTTTAAAAAGCAATACTATGTTCATATAGGCTCTCTACAGACCATTTCATACCGTCTCTACTCAAAGTGCCACTTTCTCCTTATTTTTGGCTGATAACTTTTATTTCTATTTCACTGAGAAGATAGAAACAATCAGAACAGAACTCTTCACAAGTTCACACCCTCTCTGACCCATCACACCCTGTGTTTACTGGGCTCCAGGCAGCTTCTAAACTTCAGGGCCTTTGCGCTTGCTGTCTGCTGTGTCTTAATGTTCTTCATCCAGGCTTTCCCCAACCTCCTCATTCTTTACTGAAGTGCTATTCTAAGTGAGGCGTATCCAAAACGGTAGCTACTGGAGCATTCTGTCTCCTGTATTTTTCTTTGAAGCTTATTAACATACTATAGGGTTTACCTAGCTTGTAGATATTTGCGTGTTTTCCCTCACTTGGATGTAAGCTCCAGAGATTTTTTTTTTTTAACTATTTGAGGATTAGTTAGTACTGTGTTCCAGAACACTCCTTGGGACATATTTGACATTCAGTAAATATTGTAAAATAAATAAATGAATCAGAATCAAAACAACGTACATATGGTTAAAATGCAACCTGAAAGCCTTGTGCCGTTCTCCAGAGGTAACCACTGTCAGTCGTTGAGCACGCGCTTCCAGACCTTGCTCCGTAAACACACGTTCACAGACCCTTGCATCACCATGCAGGCAGCGTGCTCCACAGACTGCCCGGCCCCGGTGCTTGCTTTCACTTTGTATTTCATGAACTTCTTTTATGCTAGTATGTAAGTAGCTACCCCATTTTTATTTTTTTTTATTTTTTTTAAAATTTTATTGGGGGAAGGGGAACAGACAAGCTGCTGTCGTTTTGTTCTTCAATCTAGTTGTGGAGGATGTTGCTTCACTGGCCCATGTTGGTATTATCATTGTGCTCTTCCTGGCTGAGGCAGATCGGTCGCCGGCTATTGGGGCCGCTCACAGAGTAGCTACGCCATTTTTAAAGTGTATTTCATTGTGCAGATAAGATTAAGTTTTCTGAAAGACAGTTAACCCATTTTATTATATGCTATAGTAAACATTTTTTGTTCATATTACTTTGTATACTCAGGCTAGTATTTCTGTAGGATGAATCCCTAGAAGTAAGATTGCTAAGTCATCAAGAATATTTAAAGTGCCAACTTGCCACCAAAATGTACTAATGATCCGGGCGGCAGCTCAGCTCAAGGTGCTGAGTTCAGTCCCAGCCGCAGGTAGGCGTAGCCCACCATGGAACAGACAATCTTGTCATTAAAAGCATGTGCTCTCACCATCTCACCAGCTGAGCCATCCTGCCACCTGTTGGCAGCTCAGCGGCAGCTTGGGCAAATCTCA